CATACCAAATTGTTGTAGACAAGTTTGCCACTTGTCTTTTAACCTTCATTGTAGGGTTTTTTTGTTTTTTTTAAAGATTTTATTTATTTATGAGAGACACAAAGAGAAAGGGAGACACAGAGGGAGAAGCAGGTTCCCTACGGGGAGCCCAATGTGGGACTCAATCCCAGGACCCTGGTATCACGACCTGAGCCAAAGGCAGATGCTCAACCAACTATGCCACCCACACGTTCCCCTATAGTAGGTTTATAACTGGTTAATCCACTACCTTTGTTATATATTTGCCCTTACGAGTGAGATTTTTACTTTCCCACGTTTTGTTATTAGTATCTTTCCTTTTCAGCTTAAGCAAGTCCCTTTAACATTTCTTCTAAGGCTAGGGTAGTGGTGAACTCCTTTAGGTTTTGCTTGTCTAGTAAACTCTTCTCCAATACTGGCAGGTAGAATATTCTTAGTTGGAAGTTTTTTTCCTTTCAGCACCTCAAATCTATCATGCCACTCCCTTCCAGCCTGTAAAGCTTCATCTGAAGTATCAGTTGATAGTGACTTGGGGATTCCCCTGTACTTGACAAGTTGTTTTTCTCTTGTTGCTTTTAAGATCCCCTCTTTAATTCTGACATTGTAATTATTATGTCACTTGATGCGGATGTCTTTAAGTTCATCTTATTTGGAACTCTGTGCTTCTAAGACCTAGATGTCAGTTTTCTTCCCTGGATTAGGGAAGTCTTCTGCCTCTCATCTTCTTTTCCCCTGGGATCCCTGTAATGTGAATGTTATTCCATTTGACATTGTCCCATAGGTTCCTTAAGCTGTCTTCATCAATACTGTGTTGTTGCTGTTTTATTTGGCTGAGTTCCATTGCCCTGTCTTCCAGGTCACTGATCTATTCTTCTGCTTCATTTATTCTGATGCTGAACCTTTCTAGTATATTTTTCAGTTCAGTTACTGTATTCTTCAGCTCTGTGACTTGTATTTGGTATGGTACTTCCTTATATTTACTAACCCTTTTTTGAAGTCTCACTGTGTTCAACTATTCTTCTGACTCTGGTAAACATCTTTATAACCATTACCTTGGACCTTTTATCAGGTAGATTAATTATATCTACCTCATTAAGGTCTTCTTTCTGAGGTTTTGTCTCCTTCGTTTGGAAAATATTCCTGTGTCATTTTCCTTGATTCTCTGTTTCTATGTATTAAGCAAAAGTTACCTCTCCCACTTTTAAAGAAGCAGGCTTATATAGGTGAATAAATTATTATTCATCTTGCCTTAGCTCTTGGTTGTCTGAAACTTTGGGATTACCTAATTAGCCTGAATTATTCTTGATAGATCCTATTTGGTGAGAGTGTGTCAAGCCCTGCCAGTGTTCCAAAGGGAGATCTTAGCACCTAGTTTCAGACTGACTGAAAGTTCCACAGGAAGGAGCTCTTGGAGTATGAAAATATATGGCCCTGTGGCACCATAACTGTAAACCCTGCTGATCTCCAGCCCAAGAGATCTAGAGGAGTCTAGAGGATCTAGTTCAGGAGTCTCCTGAACTCCAGCTGCAAAAATCAGGGCTTCAGACAAGTGTATAAACTTTTTGGAGGTATTAGCAAGCTGTGTTGAGGCCAAAGGAGAGATCAAAGATGGTGTTGTCTCCTTGCCTACCTTTCAAGAGCACCTCTGAAGCCTATCCCTTAGGCTGGAGCTCCAGGACAAGGAGATGGGCCTTTTTCACAGGTAGGCTAGTGGTGTATTTCAGCCTGCTGTCTCTGTAGTGCCTTGGGTATGGTAGCCTTCCTCAAACTACCTTCCTATTATAGCTCCATGGGGCCCAGAAATTCAAGCCCGTCTGGCCACCAGGGACAGTTGGTTAACGGGCATTCCCTCTGTGGACTACACTCAAAGGCGGGCTTTAGCAAGGCTGAAAGAGTACTGGGGGTGGGGCACATCCATGGCTTTAGGGACGCAGGAGAACAATATGGTCAGGATACTCTCAAAGCTTTAGTGAGGCAGGGGAATGGCTGGGGATGGGGCACACACTCATGGCTTTAGGGAGACTGTGTCCACCATGACTGACTACACTAGCAAAGTGGAAGGAGAGCACAAAAATGGTTCTCACAAGTACCTCTGTCCCAACTGGTCCCAACTATTCTGGCAAACACTTTAGAATTAGCAAATGAATCTTCACATATAAATCACTTCCCACTAGTCACTTTTCAAACCACTGCCTTTGCACTGGATTCCAAGGTGAGTGTGCTTACGTGTGAGCCCCTCAAAAGGAGTATCTCAGATTCCCCAGAGCTCCCAAGGTCTACTGTACACAAGCCCCTTTGGTTTCCAAATCCATCTAGGGGGCCTTGTCTCTCCAGTGCAGACTCAAAAGGACTGGCATACCCAAAGTGGGGTATAAACCTGTCCCTTCTCATGTCAAGAAAGACTCCACACTTGTACATTCCCTACTGTGAGTTGCTGCATGAGGGGCGAAGTTTTTGGCAAGATCACGCCTCCATCTCCAACTCTCCTATCCGTTTCAATGTGGCCCTTCCATTCCTTGTTGTAGAAGGAGCTGTTCAGCTAGTTTTCAGATCTTTCTGAATAGAAATTATTTCTTAAGTAGCTGCAGATCTGGTGTATCTATGAAAAGAGGTAAGTTCAGGGTGTTCCTAAGCTGCCATCTTGAACTGCCTCCAAGCGCTCTTTAAGACTGAAGTAAAACTAAATTAATAATTATTAAGAGTAGCACAAACAACACAATCACATTTTTATAAAATTATTTCTGTATGTTTATACAGCTTTCAGAAGCACACAGAGCAGGGCTTCCCAAATTTATGAATGTATAAGAATCCCCTGAAGGGCTTATTAAAATAGATTGCTGGGCCTCACTCTTACAGATTCTGATTCAGTAGATCTGGGATTGGAGCCCAAGACTCTGCATTTTCCCAAACTTCCAGCAGAGACTGATGCTGTCATTCAACAAGTAGCACTGGAATAAAATCCCTGGAATAAAATCAACCTACTTTGTATTTCATGATAATGAGATAGAGTGACTGATTTTTAACTTTCATCTCTGCAATTGGGTAAATCTTTTTTATAATGAATGTTCCATTTTTACCCAAACAATAAAATCATTACTCTAAAGAAAGTTAAAAGCAAGAAACATTAACCTGTTCATACCTACAATTTGTATAAAAGCTTTCACTGAGATCTTTAACTTTTCTTTCTCTCTCTGAAGAGCTGAACCATGTTTTATCAAACTCACCTACAAAAGAAAAGTTAGAAGAGTTTTTCTTTATAAAGTGGCTACCATGAATGAAACTGATTATTTGCTATTTCAAAAAGGAGACATACAGTATATTTCCCCATCTTACCAGGTTAATGTTCAACATCAATGTTAAATAGTTCAAGTCCTATTATTAGTCAGATCTATTGGAAATGTATGAAAATGTATGTAATATGGTCTAGTTCAGGACCAAAACAGCCCAAATCAATACTAATTTGAAAACACAGGAAAAGGGACACCTGGGTGGCTCAGCAGTTGGGCATCTGTCTGCCTTTGGTTCAGGGCATGATCCCGGTAGCCTGGGATCAAGTCCTGCGTCATGCTCCCTGCAGAGCCTGCTTCTCCCTCTGCCTATGTCTGTCTCTCTCATGAATAAATAAATAAAATCTTTTAAAAAAACAGAAAACATAAGGACAATGTTACTATATTAAGTACAATAACCACTGATTACATTTGGACCTTTCAGGTACTTTAGTATGTTTTAAGCAGTTATGACTCCTAAAAAATTATTCATAAACACTACTTTTAAAATAGTTTTATGGCCCAATGCCATTAACTAAAAAAAAAAAAAAAAAAAAAAGGTACGCTTAAGACTTACAAAATGAACACATGAATGAACACTAAGCAAACTAGGAATAATCTGTCAACTAAAAGACATTTGGGTAAGAAGGAAACAAATCAATTGTTAAAACAGTAAAACAGTCAGCTTTGGGGGCATTTGAAGTACCTGCATTCAACTTGGTTCATGATCCCAGATTCCTGGGATCGAGTCCCAACCAGGCACTCTGCTTGATGGGGAGCCTGCTTCTCCCTTTACTCCTCACTCCTGCTTGTGTGCTCTTTCTCTCTCTCTCTCTCCTCAAATAAATATCTTTAAAAAACAAACATGGTTTAACTTTGTGTAGCTTTCAATAGAGAAGTTTACATGAAATTCTATTCAGAGATAAAAACTCATGGATAATCATTAATTCCACACTCAGGACAAAGGCCCAATAGGCTTAATTTAACTGTGTACCTAATGACAGTATTTACAAATAAAATTATTTCAACTTTAGTAACAGAAAAACAAAATGCTAGCAATTAATTGAAAAAGTAAGCAATGCTGGGATTAAAGTCCAAAAGCCCTTAAATATCTTTAAATGACCCTCTGAGAAAGCTGGATTAGAAAGTAATCAGAAATAAGATCTCTGTACAGTACATAACCAATCAAATATAGAAGCAGAACTTAGAAGTAGACTGTCTTGGGATGCCTGGGTGGCTCAGTGGTTGAGCATCTGCCTTTGGCTCAGGGCATGATCCCGGAGTTCCGAGATGGAGTCCAGCATCAGGCTCCTTGCGTGGAGCCTGCTTCTCTTCCCTGTGCTGTGTCTCTGCCTCTGTGTCTCTCATGAATAAATAAATAAATTCTTAAAAAAAAAAAAAAAAAAAAGAATGTCCTTATTTTTCCTAAATCTCCATACTTTTAACAATTTGTGTTCCTAACCATTGATCTTAAATCAATCAATTGAACTTCAATACTATAATCAAGTTAAAAGTACCAACTACTCTAATCATGATTTACCTGCAAAACAAAAACAAAAACAAAAAAACCCACAATCCAGTATTTTCCCTGTTTTAAACAACAACAAAAAATGTTTAGTCTGGAGTACAGGTTTAATGTTTAATTTACATATTTCTCTAATACATTTAAAAATGTTTTAAAACTATATTCTGGTTATTAATAATGTCATTTCTTACCAGGATCTGCTAACCCAGTGGTCTCTAATAGTATGTAATCAAATTTCCCCTTCTTCTGCATCAAATTCTCAATAGCTCTAAGGCCATTGTCCCTGGAGAATACCAAAATATAAAATACAGCTGATTACCTGAATATTTTTAAATGATCATTATAAACATTTTAAAGTGTATATATAGCAACCTGAGACAAAAATATCTTTAGCCGTGTAAAAATTTAACTCATTCCCAAACTTCTAACACAATGTCCATCAATATTTACCAATGGTGGAGAAAAACAGAGACATATATACTGACAAGTAAAATAAATCAGATACATGAGGAGTTAATACTTTAATTTTATTAAAAAAGCAGAAGAAACTTTAATAACCCTGACTAAAATAAAAATCTATTTTCATAGCATTACGTAAGAAAAAACTGAACATCCAAAACAATGATAAAACTTATGAATTACAGTGGTTTAATACAACATCTAAAGGGACATGATCATTACTCTTCAATTTGATTCTGAATAAGGGTACCAGACTTTAATTTCCCTTTTTTCTTAGAATATCAACAGTGCAAGAAAATACTTACTGGATTTCATTTTGGTTGTTCAAGAAAATCTGTCATGATTTTAGCTTTGTTAATATATTTGACTCAAAGTCAAATACCTAAGTTGTAAACGACATAGAAAAAATTTAATTCACTAAAATATACAAAATTAACTGCACAGGTATTAATTTTCCTAATTTACTCAACAAATATTTGAGTGAATATGTATGTCAAGTCCTTTTCTAAGATCTATGGTATGTTAGTGAAAAAAACAGACACTGTCCTTGGAAACAACTATCACTGGTAGAACACAGCATAAGCCTTTTGACCTTTTGGATGGTCATTTATTTTTATTTTTAGAAGTTGAATCCTTGGAAATTAGACCAATGACTCATTCAATGTAGAATAATAATTTTTGTATACATGAAATGTGACTAGAAACTAGAAACTCAATAAAAGGACCAAAGCATTAGAGCAGACAAGAAAATAAGTAAGATAGCAAGAAACACTTTAATACATCCTAATGTTATTTTCTATGTGAAAATACAAAGAAGCAAACTGTGAAATTCAGTTACAAGAGAAAATAAGAGCTGTAAATATAATCAATATAATCAATAAACACTTATAACAAACCAACAAGCACACAGTAAACACATTCCTCACTTTACTGAACAGCAGAGGCAACCATTTCTAAGTTCCAGCCATTCTTCATAGAGCTCTCCGCCTTGGCTGACAGCTAAGGATTTCTCCACTGCACTTCCTGTAATTAACAAGAAACACTCTTTATTTTTTTAAGATTTTATTTATTTATTCATGAGAGACACACAGAGAGAGAGAGGCAGAGACACAGGCAGAGGGAGAAGCAGGCTCCATGCAGGGAGCCCGACGTGGGACCCAATCCTGGGACTCCAGGACCACGCCCTGGCCCGAAGGCAGGCAGTAAACCGCTGAGCCATCCAGGGATCCCAAGAAACACTCTTTAGATTTTTTTGTTGGCTAGTGAACTCTTTAGATTACATTCACTAGCCAACAAAAACAAAGATGAGACTATCAACAGCACAGATTTCAAATCATTTTATACATTTATAACAATACATTCTGTTTGCGCAGCCTCAATATTTTAAACTATACTACTCTAGATTACTTTAGCTTTTACGTTTTTAAGAGGTTTTAAGTCCCTAAAAAGGCAAATCCAAAATTAATGACTCAAACTTACTTCTTCAGGCCTCTCGCTTGCTCACTCCTATGTCCTAATAAAGTAGCTATTTCAAAAGCACTCCTTTTTGTCCATGGCCAACATTTAGTACATTTAATATATTGATTTTTGTATGTCCTTAATGCTCTTAAAAGATTGCCTTATTTTTTACTTTCCATCTTCCTTTAAATTGTTTTTGTTTGTATTAGACTACTCAATATTCCCAGTATGAGTAAAAACTCTAGTTCATTTTGAGAAAGTTTGTCTGGCCAGGATATCAATGTGCTCATTTAAAAATTAAATTTTTAAACTGAAGTTTTCCAGCAATGTTTACTTAAGAAATAATATATACTTGAAATTCTGAGATACTTGTTATCATACAAGAATAATTTTAAGTATCTTACTTTTCCTCCAATAAAGAAAGGAAGAATTCTAAATCCAGTAAAGCAAATGGACAAAAAAGAAAACTGAATAATTTTTCATTTATATAGTTTCTGTTTATATTTCAGTTAGGCAAGGATAAAGAGCTTTGAAAGGGACTGCTACAGAATTCAGGGTATAAAAGTATGAATAAAATGCAAAGAAAAGTATTTCAAATGCTGTAAAGGACAAAATTATATAAATGATCAGGAAAAAATGAAGAAAACAGTAACAAATAATGTGATCAATGTCCAACAGATGTTAATAAGCTAGAGTAAAAGACAGATTTAAAAAAATCTTAGCGTTTTTATTTTAACAGGGCTTTTCACTTTAGTTTATTAAAATGAGAAATCAAGTTTAACAGGTCTCCCTTCTTCATAAAACCTAGCTCCATTATTCATTTAATACTGAGAAAATAGCATACTATAAGAAATAGTTCAACATATTTTTTGGTTAAAAGCAAGCTTTAAAGTTCACTTGTAAGAAGAAAGACTTCTAAAAGTAATCTAAGAATTGTGTCTAACACTGCTGTGTAGATATTAAAGCACAGTTCAATATTAAAAACAAAACAAAAAAAATGATGGGACGTCTGGGTGGCTCAGTGGTTGAGCATCTGCCTTCGGCTCAGGGCATGATCCCTGGGTCCTGGGATCGAGTCCCACATCGGGCTCCTGGCATGGAGCCTGCTTCTCCCTCTGCCTGTGTCTCTGCCTCTGTGTCTCTCATGAATAAATGAATAAAATCTTTAAAAAACAAAACAAAAAAAAAAAAACAAAAAAAATGGAATTTTAAATGCATATATTTCCACAGACAACTGCAGGTGCTTAAGGATGGAAACCATATATTTAACTTATTTTTAAAATCTTCAGTTTTAGGGCAGCCCAGGTGGCTCAGCGGTTTAGTACCTCCTTCAGCTCAGGACATGATCTTGGAGACCCGGAATCAAGTCCCACGTCAGGCTCCCTGCATGGGGCCTGCTTCTCCCTCTGCCTGTGTCTCTGCCTCTTTTTCTGTGTCTCTCATGAATAAATAAAATCTTAAAAAAAAAAACACTTCAGTTTTAAATGCTTTGCAAATAATAAACATCCAACAAGGTAAACTTATAAAAACTGAAGCATTTTAAAATATTTTTCAGAAGTTACAAGTGAACAATATATAATCAGTACAAAAGTACACAGAAAGTGCCTGAAAGAACTTTCTTTCATGTTTCCATTTTTACTTCTAGAGTTCTTTCATGTAAAAATCTAATTTATTCTGTTGCTATAAATTCCAAAGTTACATAAAATTTTATAAAAAACTATCTGGGGGATCCCTGGGTGGCTCAGCAGTTTAGCGTGAGCCCCTGGCCCAGGGCGTGATCCTTGGGAGTCCTTGGGATTGAGTCCCACGTCAGGCTCCCTGCATGGAGCCTGCTTCTTCCTCTGCCTGTGTCTCTCTATCTGTGTCTCTCATGAATAAATCAAAAAAATCTTAAAAAAAAAAAAAAAAACTACTTGATTTCAGTACCTCCAATCTCTACAAAATAAGGCTTGAGAGAAACTAATCTAATTTTCCCAAAACCATCTGCGTCAATGTGTTCACATTATAATACTTTGTATTTTCATCAATTCAATTAGGGGGATAAGCTACCCTACAAATTCTTACAGCATGGCATTCACTGAATTTTACTTACCTTCCCCAAATTCATTTAGAATAACTGCCACTCTCTTACTATGCTGCTCTGTCAAGATATAGTTCAGAAGTGTTGTCTTTCCAGCACCTATAAAATACATTTAAATAACATTCAAAGGCTAATTTTAAAGGCACATACACAAAAAAGTCCTAATATTTTTAAAATGTTGTTTTTAAAAATTTCTGTACCATTTTTACAATATTTAACTATGGTATAGAAGATTCCAGAGGAAAAGATTAAAGTATCTTTTGCAAACTATTAAAAAAGCTTTATACTGATTGAATCTTATATTTACGAATATTCCTACAACTTGGATCACAGCTTTCTTCAACCTCATATAACAAAAATTTGCCTTCTACACAATTTATGATATAATTAACACTAAGGCATTTAAACTTTCTATTGAGTGAGGAATTATTGAAATAATGGCTTCTTGGTAATAAAGTACTGAGGTACTTTATTTATTGTAAATTTACTTTATTTAAATTATTCATATACTTTATTTAAAATATTTAGGCACTTTTACATGATGACAATGTTTCTTAACTAAATATATATGGTTTATTTCCCTAACATTTACATATAAAGCCCTATTTTTTATTTCAATATCCGTCATTAAACAGACACAAATTCAAACTGACCACAGGGCTACTTTCAGTATGCTGACAGTAACCTGTAAGAAAATATGATATATACAGCTGACCCTCAAACAACTAACTGTGTGGGTCATGGGTCCACTTACATTTGGATTTTTTTTTCCTGTAAATATGGTACAGTACTTAATTTTCTCCCCCTTATGATTTTTCTTAACATTTTTTCTCTAGCTTACTTTATTATACAAATACAGTATGTAATACATGTACAAAATATGTGTTAATTGGCTTTATATTATCAGTAAAGCTTCTGATCAATAGTAGGTTATTGGTAGTTTTTTGGGGTTTATATGCAGGTTTTCAACTGTGCAAGATGTTGGCACTCCTAACCCCACACTGTTCAAGGGTCAACCGTATCTGTCTACCTATCCATAAAACACACGCAAAATAGGAGAATGAATGCAGAAAATGTTAATGTACAGAATATTCAGTACTTAGGAAAATAAATTCATAAAGCTACACTAACTTTATCCAGTAGGTGGCATGTTAAACCTAGTATGTTCAGCTCAAGTAGAAGAAAAACATTTATCTTGAAAACAACTATACACAGCAAAGTTCAAAGACGGGGAAAAAAATTGCACCATAGTGTAGTTCAATTGTATGAATACATCATTTATTTACTTTTCTGCTGGTGGGCATTTGTGTTCTCTTCAGCATTTTATTCTCCCCAACAGTACTGCTAAGAACTTTTCCATGTAAGCTCATAGGTCTCTCCTGAAGAACATTTACAAAATTTCTACCATACAACTAGGAGGGCTTTAATGTTCATTAGGGTATTTTTTTTAAGATTTTATTTACTTATTCATGAGAGACAGAGGGGGGGGGCAGAGACACAGGCAGAGGGAGAAGCAGGCTCCATGCGGGGAGCCTGACGTGGGACTCGATCCCAGGTCTCCAGGATCACACCCCAGGCTGCAGGCAGCACTAAACCGCTGCGCCACCAGGGCTGCCCGATCATTAGGGTATTAATATCTTCTACATTTTTAGGCCATATTCCTTTAAAAGGCTGTTGAAGGGATGAAAGGCTTGTGTTTAGAGCGCTTATAAAAGCTCAACATCTCAAAAGTGTGAAGTATATAGTGAAAGGGACAGAGCTTGAGGAGACAGGGCATTGAGGAAATTCTTAGAAACCAAATGGAGCGTGAGACAGAGACCCTGAACATGATTGAGGCCATGAAAATGGAGAGGAAGAGGTGGAGATAAGAGATTGTCTAATAGAATTACTAAGACTTAAAGCAGAAGACTTTAAGGCACAGTTGGTGCATTCAAAAGTCTACTCTGGGCCAGATTTTATGCTAGGCTTTGGTGAAAAATGCACAGAGACAAACTGTCTCTACTTTCATGATGCTTACAAAGACTGAGTGCATGATGGAAGTTAATTCAGATCAATCAAGAGGCAATTATGCCACAGAATTATAGAGTGGATAGGAGATGTACAAGATGTCATGGAGCACCTAGGAGGGAGGTCTACACAGAGGAGTAACAAAAAAGAAAAGTATTCCAGGGCCTAACATACTTGGCACCTTTTATGAGTAAGAGTTGTTTAATGTGGCTGGACCACAATTTTGAAGCCTAGAAAGGCTGTCAAGAGCCAGATCATAAAGGACCTTCTGATTCGTGTTTAGGAATTTGAACTGTAGCTCAAATGGAAACCACTGAATGGTGTGACACAATCAGCTGACATTTATAAAGATCATTAAGGC